GGTGTATATAGTGAGGAAGGCTTGTCAAAATAATATTCAGACAATTAAAATTTAAAGAATCATACTAGAGAGGTTGAGTACAGAATCATACTTTACTTGGTGACTGTATACATTCACCCATGTTTTGATGTGTAGTAATAAGATGTTCATGATGTGTAGTAATAAGATGTTCATGATGTGTAGTAATAAGATGTTCATGATGTGTAGTAATAAGATGTTCATGATGTGTCAGACCCATAATTGGCTGTTGAACTAGAGTGTGATTAGGGGGTTGTGATGGTGTGACTTTCTTGACAATTCTAATTGAATTTCTCAATCTCCTACACCTTCCCATTAATGTCGAAATTGATCTACCCTACAAAAAATTGAAACTACAGAGTCAAATTAAAGTCTGACCAATAATCCACCAAGCAGAACTCTAAGGTGAATAAACTGTGACCAACAACCATGCCCCTCACAAGCATTTCGTCAAACACTATGAGTGCAAAAATGATAAGACTTATAATCATTCAATCCTCAAAACCCCCACAACCCACAAATTCCACAACAACAATAATCCAAACCCACACAAGATCAACATAATTGGCACAAAAATCAAACCCATACAGAGAGCAATCTTGATTATCAGGGCAATTAATGTAAACAGAAACAAGATTCTCACCTAAACGGATAAAACTTATAGCACACTATTGAGGAGAATGTGTCGGGTGGGAAGAAAATAATAGAAATCTGATTCTTGGTTTCACGCTTTCGGATTAAGCCGATAAAAGTTAGACATGGAAATTGTCTTCTTTTTTTTTAATGTTTATAGAAACCGAATGCCATTGAATGAGTGGGAAAAAAAAAGGGACTAAAATATGAAAATAAGATAATTTCACCTATCTAAATTCTATTAGGCAGATAGGGTACACATTGCATTTAATGGATAAAAAAAACATCTACTCACAATTTTTTATTTTTTATTTTTTTGGAAGAAAAATGAATAACTAACATATTATATATGTATTGCAGGAACGCATACAACGTTTGTTAGATGAAAATGCAAAAGAAGGAATTGAAATGTCAAATAAAGATATATATGATCATGTTTTGTAGCAGAGCTCTAACCATGGAGTTGGTAATGGTAGCAAACGTCCACTTTTATCTGAGCCTGTGAATCAACAAATGAGGATCAGAGAATTAGAACAGAAATTGCAATCTCTCGAGAAAGAAAAGAGTGAAATTTTGGCAGAAAGAGAAAAATATGGAGAAGAAGTACTAAATAATATCCAATTACAATATGAGAAAGAGAATGACAATAGTTGGAAAGATAATTTTACAAATTTGGAATAAATATTAAGTGTAAATACTTTCTTTTAGAGGATTTATTTTGTTTAAATTTATGTCTTGTCGAATATTATTTTTAATTTAATAAAGTGTTTTAGTTTTATAATCTTATTTTTTTATTAATGTAAATCAATTAATTATGCTGTAGAAGTTATTTAATTAATATTAAAATTTAAAAATAGTTTAATTATATATATTGATTGATGCTAAATTATTATATT